TGGGCTTCACAGGGGCCAGAGCTGCCCCCTGAGTATGTCGGCAGATGCCTCTTCCTGGGGAACAGAGGCTGGGGTCCTGGCTCCATGCCCTCCCGTCCCCTTGGTGGTGTGTCAGGAGGTGGTTCCAGCCAGCACAGGACCTGCTGCCCTGCAAACCTGCTCCTGCGGTTTGGCTCTCATATATTTTAATCCTATTTAGGTGGTTTTCAGTTGTTTTTTTTGGGTTTTTTTTTTTTTTTTGGTATTGTTTGTTCTTCTCTAGTTCAAGTAGCATTGCAGTGAAGACCCTTGTATGTGTGCCGTTAGAGTTGAGGTTTTCATATTTTAAAGATTTTCATTTCTCTTTACACTGTTTGTATCTTTGGTTAATTTTTGTTTTATTGTTGGTCTTTTCATATTGAATGCTTTTACAAATAGTTATTTTTGTGATATTATAGACTTTGTCACTGTCTTTAACCTTGGGTAGAAAATTTGAATATCTATGTAGTCAAATTTATCAGTAAAATAAACTAAGGTCTTTGCATCCTTCTTTTTCTTCCTTTTTTATTTTTTATTTATTTTTGTTGTTTTGTTGTTCTAGATGGACACCATACCTTTATTTTATTTATTTGTTTTCATATTCCTCACACATGCTAGGCAAGAGCTCGGCCCAGTTCCGTTTGCTCCCTCACACTCAGGGCTGGAGGGCCAGGTGCCTCGCAGCAGTGATGCACAGCTTCACCGACACTTTAACCCAGGCACCCTGTTGGCTGACTGTTCTCAGAGCACGCCTGGTTCTTTCAAAGCTATCTCACACCACAGCTGCAACCCTTGCCCACCCTAAAACATATAACCACAAACTTCACTATTTGCTCTGTGAGCATGAGGCACATTATCTTTCTTCTCAGAAAATTAAAGATGGTCAAATTTCACAGATACCACTTAGAAGTTTTTAAATGGGGAGAACTGCTTTCTTTATATAATAGCATGACATTAATAGTTTAGATTTAATTAAAGCATCAGAACATAAAAAATTTTATGGTCAAAAACTGAAGTATAAGGGCTGCAGTTGTGGCTCAGTGGTAGAGCGCTTGCCTAGCATGTGTGAGGCACTGGGTTCAATCCTCAGCACCACATAAAAATAGATAAATAAGTAAAATAAAGGTATTGTGTCCATCTACCACTAAATGTTTTTAAATCACATGATAATTTTCATAAAGCCAAATGCTCAAATTTACTGCTAGCCATTTATAATTTTTTTTTGTTACTAACATCTTGATTAAAAAATGTGAGGCAGCCGGTTTCATGTTTTGGGGTTATCTTTCATTAGCAGCTGTTATGGTTTGGGTGAGACAGTAGTGAGAAGGATCTAAGGGGGAGTGATTGGGTCTTAATCCTAATGGGATTAACTGAGTGGTAACTGAAGGCAGGTGGGGTGTGGCTGGAGGAAGTGGGGCACTGGGGGCATAACTTTGGGGTAGGTATCTGTATCTGGAGAGTGGAGACTCTGATCTTCGTGTGAGCTGCTTCCCTCTGCCACACTCTTCCGCCACATTTTTCTGGCTTATCTGGAAACCTGAGGAATAAAGCAGCTGTCAATGGACTGCCACCTCTGGAACCATGAGCCCTCAAATAGACTTCTCCTCCTCTATTGTTGTTCTGGTCAAATCTGGCAGTCACAGAGGCAAAACAGCTGAGTAAAACAGCAAACACCTACTCCCCTTAGGTATGCAAACAAAACATCTAGCTTCATGCCAGCCCTGATCCATGCCTCCTGGCTCTCGCACACTAACACACCACTAACATTTTACTTGATTCACAGACTGGTCAGCTCAAACACTTCCCGAGGAGTAAAAGAAAATATTAAAAGTGAACAGAAGTATCTGTGAATAATGCATAGCCAACAGGATGTGTGGTTTTCTCTTTCTGGGTAGACCTGCGTAAGAGTCTATATGAAAACCTAAGAGCAATCAGTTTCACATATGCAAGTAAAACAGTATCAGCCACCAATAAGCTTTTAAAACAGAATGCACAATGATTCCCAATTCAAAAACAGTTTTCAAAAAGACCAGATGATGGCGGGGCACCAGACCCCGCCAGCCTTAGGAAGTCAGGGCCCCCCTCCTGCCCAGCTGAAGGCTGCAGGGAAGCCTCGCCTGGAGCCTGGGAGACAGATTCTGTGGAGTGTCAGCCCCAAAAGAAGATGGGAAGTGACCCTTCCCAGGGGAAGCAGACCTCAGCACAGGGAAGGAGTTGTGAAAAACCCCAAGAATAGTACAGAGTTAAGTTTCTGAGTTTCTTGAACCAGTGGGCAGTGGCGCAAGGCAAGACAGCCTCCCCTGCTCCTTTACTGTGCAGTGCACTATGCAGAAGGGCACAGTTGGACCAGCCCCAGAGAGTTTTGGTTTTTAAACTGGTGTGTGTGGGTGGGTGGGGGGGATTCAGAATCCAGTTCTGTCAAAGAAGGTGACAAATGCCATTTGCCTGACCCAATTATGGACCTATGAGTTAGGTTCTGTGTTGGTTGATAATCAGAATGTTAAAAGTAGTTGTCCTCCTCTTAGACTAAGCAACCTAGTACCTCTTTCTCTTTATCATGATTATGAGGAGTTTTTGTTGCTCTGTGGAGCCTCATTTCATGGGGCTTTTCATAAATGAATTTATTAGATTATTATGTAATTCAGATTTAGTTATTAAAATCTAACTATATGCAATGCAGTTTTGTTTTCATTGTGTTTATTTCCAAGAGGGTTTTCTAATAATGACAAGTGATACTGTTTCCATATAGTATAGAGATATACAGGGTTTCCCCCTGAAATAAATACATTTAAGTTAAAAAGCTTTCTTGGCAAGATTACCGAAACAGTTACTGTCCTTCCTGTTGTATCAAGTGTTGGTCATGTTTTGTAACTGGGGGTGTATCCCAGTCACTTAGGGCTTTTCCAGTGGAAATTGACCGTAGCTCCCCTGGTAGTTGGCGAATATCTTGAGAGAGAGACTCTGAGACCAGCACATCCTGTTTCTCCTGAAACTTGTGCCCGTGGTTTGAGCATGCATCGGTGGATCTCGTCTGTAGCATTTATTATGTGTTCCATGACTCTTTTCTTCTTACACACTTACCATCCCATGAAGAGGAGGTAAGTATGGAGTCATGGAGACACACACACACACACACACACTCACTCTCTCTCTCTCTCTCTCTCTCTCTCTCCTGTGGATTAAAATCTAATACTAGTATTGTATAAGGGTTAGATCATGAAAGAAAGTTGAAAAAACTCAGACTGAGTGCAGCTTCAGGACATGAAAGACAAAGAGGAACTGTTAAAATTAAAGATAAGAAAAAACTGAAGATTAAGAAGAACTAACCAAGTGCATCTGGGCAGAAGGTGGTGTCCTGCCTTCATGAGGCTTTTAACAGGGTTCTAGAACTAGTGGAAAATGAAATGTATTTCTTATCAAGTACATGTGCAGTTAGTAACATTGTGCCAGGTTTTGCTTTGTTTGTTTTTTGTGTGTTTTTTTTGTGGGGGTTGGGGATACTACTGGGAACTGAAGGGGGGGCTGCACCTCTGAGCTACACCCCCAGCTCTTTTTATATTATTATCATTATTATTGTTTTGTATATGTTGCTAAGGCTCAAATCCACATGGTACGCAAGAACTCTGCCACTGAGCTACAGCCCCAGCCCTTTTTTAAAATTTATTTTTTAATTTTGACACAAGGGATTGCTAGGTTGCCCCAACTGGCTTTGAGTTTGGGATCCTTCTGTCTTGGTCTCCCAAGTGGCTGGGATTCCAGGAGTACTCCACCATGAGTCACCGTACTGGCACGTGGCACCAGCTTTAATTTCCTGTAGATGATTACATTTGGTCATATGAGAAAGTAGATAGAACATGTAAGGGATAAGGGAGCTGATACTAATTTTTATAACTTTTCTGTCTAAAAAGTTTTAAAAGTCAATTTAAAGAGTAATGTTTAGTACACTGGTAAATATTTTAAAATAAGCTTAAAACCATTTTCTATTTATTTTGCATCTGGACCTGTAATAAGGGTTTTTTTTTTTTTTTTTTAGTTTTCTATATTGGAGAATATCTGGGAGGATCTTTGACTTTGTATCTTGATAGCAAGGAAACTGGATTCTGTGTATCGTGTGTTCACATATCAATATATTGTTTTAACTTGGCTTAATTACTCTGACATTGTTCTGATAGGTATACCTTGTAAGAGATTTAACTTTATATTTAAAAAAAAAATTTTTTTTTGGTAGTTGTACCTGGACAGCATGCTTTATTTGTTTCATTTTTATGTGGTGCTAAGGCTTGAACTCAGTGCCTCACACATGCTAGGCGAGTGTTCTGCCCTTGAACTGCAGTCCCTGCCCCACAATTTAGTTTTACTTAGGGTGAAATTTTTCTTTTTTATTTACTGACAGTAAAGAAGTTGACTTTTCATTGACATTTTCCTGGAGATCCTTGTAGACCCACTGTAACTGTTAGGAGCAGTGTGGAGATGCCCTGTTCGCATGTCCAGGCCCCGGGTGGGTCAGCTTGCAGAACTGCAGTTGATGTCACAACCAGAACATTGGCATTGTTGCAGCACACAGATCTCTCTCGGATTTCCCTAGTTGTACTCACTTGTGCATTTGATTTTTCATACATCAGGTCTTACACTTAGGAAGCTGCTGAAATGCTGGCTTTAGTTTAGTCTCTGGTCTCCAAATTACCATTTAACATCTGTGCCTCTCACTGGTCATCTGATTCAGTCAGATAATTTGATATGATGTTTAGAATCATTTTTTTTTTCAGTTGTAGATGGACACAATACCTTTATTTTATTTATTTTTATGTGGTGCTGAGGATCGAACCTAGTACCTCATACATGCAAGGCAAGCGCTCTGCCACTGAGCCACAATCCCAGCCCTACCCTAGAATCACTTTTGGGTGAAAATATTCTATGATCGTTGTATGAGAGTGTTTTCTCCTTTTAAATTATAACCTCCTTTTCTCTCTTTTTGGATTCAGGAAGAAAAGGCTTCTCTTTTACATCGCACTCAGGAAGAAAGAAGGAAAAGAGAGGTAATGGTAGCTTGGTGATGTTCTTCACAGATGGGTGTTTTCCTGCAGCATTTGAAATAGCCTGTGTATGTTGCATCTGTTGTAGGTTGGGGGACTTAGTATAACACTTTTGGGTGTGTTGGACTTTGAAGTACAACGTTTATTCTGGAACCACTGTAGGAAAAGATGGGCCAAAAAGGCCTCCAAGTCCAGGGGCTGGGGTTGTAGCTCAGTGGTGGAGCGCTTGCCTAATATGTGTGAGGCACTGAATTCGATCCTCAGCACCACGTAAAAATAAATAAGTAAAATAAAGGCATTGTGTCTATCTATAACAAGGCCAAGTCCACTGGAAATGGAATGTGGGATTTTAATTGGCTTTGTTGCTTATGGGAAGGTTTCCAGAAGATCTAGGAAGAGGTTAGTGTACAGTGCTGAGTTTCTTCAAGTTAAGGGAGAAAAACTCATCCTTAAGCATGTATCTTTGCTACTTATGAAGAGGGTAAAAACAGAAAGCAGCTGATGGTATATCTTGCATCTTTCTGAAGATAATTTCCTAAAATACTGCTGGTTAATCAGCAGCTGTGGTATCTTAGGACCTACTTCTCTAAGTAGTTTCTTGTTATTTTAGCAACTTGTTTGCGTATCTCACAGACATTTATCAAGAGCATGTTGTGTCAGGTACTACTACTCTTATTGGGTGTACAGGTGGTAGGTGAGACAGGCTCCTGCTCCAGTGGATATTAGCAGGCACTGGCCAGGACAGCAGGTAGTACTTAGCTGCAAGGTGGTATATCACAGCTAGTAATTGGGGACCTGTGGGAGACGGGAGCTTAGGGGAAGGGCTCTCTGAGGAGTGTGGAGAGGGTAGAACCTGAGGATGAAGCAGCAGCTGCCTTTGGGAAGCTAGAGGGAGAACATTCCCACTTAAAGCAACAGCAGTGCAGAGGTTTTGACTCATATCACTGTTGTTTTTGATCAGATATCGATTGTGGTGGGGACTGTCCTGTGCATTGAAGGATATCTGGCCTTGACCCACCAGATGCCAGCAGCACTTCCTCCCCAAAATTGTAACAACCAAAAAAAAAATGTCTCCAAAAATATCAGGTGTCTCTAGTAGTTCAGAATCCCTGCTCGACCCAGGAAGTCATCTCTTTGTTGCTGGCATTCTCCATCTGTCTGGGGAGATGCCCCACCATTATTTCTTCTGTCAATACTTGATCCCATTCTTACTCTTCTCCTTCTTGGGTGCAGGCTGGAAACAGGATCCATCTTTGTGTATGTTTCCTATATGCTCTTCTGTATGTTTATTCTTGCACACATCTGTTCTTCATTTTGGATATTTTCTTCTGACCTAACTTCTGATTTACAAATTATCTCTTTCACAGTGTCTAATTGTTAAATTTATCACTAAATTCTTAATTTCACTTTTCAGTTCTAGATTTTTTAAATTCTTTTATATATTCTCCAACTCTCATCGTTTGTTGTTCTTGAACACAGTTTAGATTTTTAACCAGTTGATTTAGAGCAGGGGGCAATGCTAGGATCAAACCCATGGCCTTGTGCATGCTAGGCAAGCACTCTACCACTGAGCAACACATCCCAGGCTAAGTTTTTATCATCATCATCATCATCTTAATTGTAAATGGACACAGGACCTTTATTTTGTTCATTTATTTTTATGTGGTGCTGAGAATCAAACCCACTGCCTCACACATGCTAGGCAAGCATTTAATCCCTGAGCTATAGCCCCAGCCTCCCAGCCTAGGTTTTTAATGTTTAAATTCTCATAATTGAACCTTCTGTGGGTATAGAGAACATTATTTTTGCTTTTGGCAGAGAGTAAGGAGAGGGACACAGTCACCTTTAACTAATGCAGGGTGGGACTGGGAGCTGCCTGTCAGGCACCTGAGATGCAGGCCTTTGGCCCCAGCAGGACTCTGTGGTGTTGGAGTCCCAGGAGTGGCTGAGCGCTGGGGTCTGCAGGTGTGCAGGCCATAGGGTCGCGCCTGGGTTTGAGCTCTGGCTCCTCAGGCTCTGTGCTGCTCATCCTCACGGTAGTGTCAGATTCTGCAGCTATACAGCAGGAGCAGTGCTCACCTGTAGGTCATCCTGAGAAGGGATGTGAAGGTCCTTTCGTGGTGCTGGTGCATAGTGGGCACCCGAATGTGTACCCAAGAGAGATGAAACCTTGTGTCCACAAGAAACCTAGAATGAATGTTCATAGCAGCAGTCTTCTTAATTGCCTTAAGTGGAAATAGCCTGAATGCCCCTCCACACATAAAGGGGTACACAAAAAGTGTGATGTCCATGCAATGGAATATTACTTGTCCATGAAAAGGAATGAAGTACTGACACATGGTTCAGTGTTCATGAACTGTGCAAAAAGGCAGACCCAAGCAGCAAGTGTTGTATGGCTCCATGATGCAAAGTGCATGGGACAGGAGACTCCAGCGAGGCAGGAAATGTGTTGTGTCCGTGGGTGGCAGCCAGGAATGAGGCAGGGTTGTTGCTGCACAGGGTTTCTTGGGAAGTGAGTTGTTCTAAGGTTAGTGGGATGGCCACATGGTTCTGAATAATCTAGAAGTGTGTGCAGTGTTGGTGACTGTAAAGAATGGGTGTTATGGGGGGGCTGGGGCTGGGGCTCAGTGGTAGAGTGCTTGCCTAGCACGTGTGAGGCTCCAAGTTCGATTCTCAGCACTGCATAGAATAAAGTGAAGGTCCATTGACAACTAAAAAATATTTGGAAAAAAAAAAGGATGAATGTTACAGTGTGAATTACATGGCTTTTATTTTTTAAAACTGTTTACTAGTTAATGTGATTCACTGATTCTGACCAATTGCTCTTTCCTTCCTCCATTATTCAGGAAGAAAGGCGAAGATTAAAAAATGCAATAATTATTCAGTCATTTATTCGAGGCTACAGAGACAGAAAACAGCAAGTAAGTTTATTTGTAAAACACAAATATTAGAAGGATCTGCAAGAGCTTATTTTAAATATTGCCTTATTATAAGTATCATCTTTTATGTATTTTTTTTTCTACCTGAAAGTTAACGTTAATGGTAGTAGTATTTTTTCTTAATAAATAGTTGTATTAGTTATATTTATACAAAGATTTATAGACAAGTGAATTTTTAGGTGATTTTTAAGTAGTAAAATACAAACCACAACTAATAATCACAATAGAATAAAGGTACTTGTAGTGGGCATCCAGGGTCTTGATGCGAGTCCGAGGTCTTGATGCTTTGTCGCACCTTTTACACAGCCTTCTGACAGCGACTCGGTCGTCTGTGGGTTTCCACCAACCCGTGAGCACATCTGCCTAGGTGTGGAGAGTTCTGCTTCTGAATTCATGCTTACGTGTTGCTCCTTCCTTTCAGTATTCCCTCCAGAGAAGTGCATTCGATCGCTGCGCACACTCGGCACAGTCTGGTGGCACTTTCTCCATCACTAGTGCCCCCAATCTTACCCTCCTGGTAAGGCAGCTTCTGTTTTTTTACAAACAAAGCGAAGATGCAAAACGATTGGTGAGTGTTTGCTATATTTTCGCTTGTCTTGGTGTATGTATTTTGGGGCTTTGTGTTTTTTTTTTTGTTTGTTTGTTTTTTCCTTAACATGTACATGGTGAGTATCTGATCAAGAATCAGGTCTTGTCAGGATCTGGTGACTCAGGCCTGGAATCCTAGCAACTTAGGAGGCTGGAGCAGGAGGACCTCAAGTTCAAAGCCAGCTCAGCAACTTAGCAGGACCCTGTATTTAAGTAAATAAATAAATTAAAAGGCCTGGAAATGTGGCTCAGTGGTAAAGTGCCCCTGAGTTCAATCCCTGTACTACAAAAAAAAGAGGTAGAACTAGCCAGATCCCCTCCAGGGTACCTGAGCCCTCATGGACTTTTCTCAGCCAATTCTAGTAGGTCACCTGTGGTGATGTATTTTACTTCTTAAAATCTAGTATACATCTTAATAGGCTTCTCATTTTTTTTGTTTTTGTTGTTATAGAAAATTTCAAATATTAAAAAAAGTATAGGGGCTGGGGTTGTGGCTTAGCGGTACAGTGCTCGCCTAGCATGTGCAAGGCCCTCAGTTCAATCCTCAGCACCATATATAAATAAATAAAATAAAGGTATTGTGTCCAACTGCAATTAAAAAATTTAAAAAAAAAAGTATATCATGTGGACTCCCTCCAGTGTGCCCCACCTACTGCACAGTCAGCAGCAAGCTCTTCAGACATAGCCCTCCACACCTCTGCCTCAGCTCACTGTGACCATCTCTCTATCACATCATGTTCATCTGTATTTACAATAGCAACCTCCAGAATATATGGTCTCTAATTTATTTACCCAGGGCCTCCCACATCCAGGCAAGCACTGTGCCACTGAGCTACACTCTCAGCCCTGGACTCTTTTTTTTTTTAAAAACATCTGAAACGCAAATGTATTTCTCTAAAAAATTTTATGGGCTTTTGCTATGGTTAGGAGAACCAGTGTGCATTAATTGTGGAAAATACATATAAATCCATTGATGAATAATCTTTTAAAAGCGGGGGGGGGTGGATTTTAATCATTCATTTTCTAGCACATATAAAAACATTTGTATGTGATTGTTAAGTCAAGTGTATGTTTATGCTTAGAGATTATTATTTGTCTGTGCCATGCAGGGTGGTGCGCAACTGTAATGTGTGCACCTTGGCAACTTAGGAGGCTGAGCAGAAGGATCGCAAGTTCAAAGCTAGCCTCACCAGTTTAGTGAGACCTTGCTCAGTGGCTGAGCACCCCTAGGTTCAATCCCTGGTACCAACCAACAAACAAATTATTATCTGTCTATAATAGAAATTCCAAGTTATATTAAAAGGTGGGTCCGCAGTGTACAGAAAAAACATTTTCTGCACTACAAACTGTGCATGCTAGAAAGATCCCCATGTGAAATAAACATAGACGGCTACAGAGGTCTGGGATAGAGCTTGGCCTGAAGCCCACCCTGCTGCCTGAGCTGAGCAGGTGGGACTCGGCATGGAAAGAGCTCTCTGTGACAGGAGCCCATCTGCAGCAGCCCAGCCGCAGTTCATTCACCTTAGACGTTGCTAATAGCAAGCTTTTCAAAGGCTTCCTTCCTGTCTGCAGTTTGTGAGACAAGGGAGGGGACTGAGGGCAGGCAGTCTGACTCTCCAGACAGGGCTGACCTAGGAGCAGACACCCAGGTGCTAGGTGTGACTTGAGGTTCTCTCCAGAGCACTGTTTCTTTGTGTGTGTAAGATCTAGTCTGCAGTCCCCATGTGGTTTCTAAATGTGAGCCGGCACAGACCTGCAGCCAGAGAAAACTTGGAAGTAAATGTGCACCTTAACACCAGGCTTCAGGCACGTATGCACAAACCTGTAGCTCATATGCAGATCCTGTAATGCTAAGTGCAGTGTCACCAAACCTGGTTCATACAGTAAAAGTAAACTTGAGTGTTTTCTATTTAATTTGCTAACAAAAACGCAAGAGCTTCCATCAGGAAAACGTCCCCTGTCCCTTTTAGTTCCCTAATTCCCACTCCTAAGATCAAGTGTGGGGCCTCCTTTGATAGTTTTTCAAAGCTACTTGATGCAAAAAAGTAAATAGGCTCCCCATTCTCACCTCCTCTCTTAATTTATTTTTTTTAGAATCATGACTTAAAATAGTTCTGTTGAGTTAGTGTGCTGTAATCCTGCATTTTTTGGTGTACAGTTCACCTGCTTCTCAGTTGCTTGGTTCTGATTCCCTTGGTCCAGCCTTTCTCCACCTCCAGAAGTTGCATCTCCAGGGCACCAGCACTGGGCCTGTCGTGTGCTCTGCCTGCCTGGCATCATCCTGGGAGAGCCTTTGCTTTGCCTCCGTTTTATACCATCTTTGCCTGGCTCCTCCACATCTTCGGGCCTCCTTGGTTCACTTCTTTAGAGCCTTACGATGGAGAGCCTTAGTTGAGTAGCTGGGGACATAGCCCATTGGTAGTGTTGCCCCGCACGCAAGGCCCTGAGTTTAACCCCCAGTGTGTGCGCACACAAAAGAGAGCCTCAGTTGACCCTTGAGACAGGATGCGGAGGAGACGGTTTTTAAAACTTTGCCCATTTGCCTTTACTACATGAAAACAACAAAATGTCAAACAATTCAGTTTGCCATGGTGTGACTTTCTGGATAATAACAGTATGTCTGTCAAGATGGTGAAATTCATACAAAACTTTTCTAGAAACTGGTCAAGTGTAGTGTAGTATAGTATCACTATTGCTTTGGGGTTTTTTTCTTTCTTTCTTTCTTTTTTAGTTGTCAATGGACATTTTTTCATTTTTATATGTGGTGCTTGAGAATTGAACCCAGTGCCTCACACATGGCTAGGCAAATGCTCTACCACTGAGCCATGACCCCAGCCCCACTTTGGGTTTTGTTGTTGTTGTTGTAGTTGTTTTGTTTTGTTTTGTTTTTTTTACCCCCTCAATGTCAGACATGACTAGCTGATTAACAGATGAGATACCTGATTCCTACAGTTTCTATGATTGTCCATCTGTCATTTTTATAATGTTATACTTTCTGTATATCTTTTTTAAAAATTTTTTTTAGTTGTAGATGGACAGTATCTTTGTTTATTTATTTTTATGTGGTGCTGATGATCGAACCCAGGGCCTCATGCATGTGAGCACTCCACTGAGCTACAACCCCAGCCTCTTGCTGTACATCTTATTTTAACTTGTTAATAGGTATTGCAAAATTTAAGATGAACTATGTGGGGATATGTGGGAAGTATTTGGATCTTGTTGGCGCTTCAGGGTTATACATGTGTAGTCAGCTCACACAGATGCAGAGCAGGTCAGTTATTTCCCTCCAACTTAGGACAGGCTCTAATTTGTTTTGCATAGTGTTCTTCTGTTATTTATAGTGTCTAATTGCATTTTATTTCAAACAAGCATTAACGTGAAAGTAGAAACTATTTGTGACACATTCATAACTAGCCACATTTAGGAAGCCATCTTTTAATTCCAGCTGGTTGTAAATGGATCTTAGGAATAGAAAAAATAGAATAGCTCACTTCACAAGAGTATCCTAGAGGAAGTAGAGGGGATTCTTCCTAAGTATTGCGCTTTCAGATCACTTATAGCAGCTTTGTGCAAACTGGGTGCAAGGGACAGAATCCAGTTCCCCTGCTGAACTCATCCACCAGTCACATTCCATTCCTATCATATACCTGGTCTTTTGTTGGGAAGCATGGAGCCGTATGCTTGTCTTCTGCTAAGGAACAGAAGCATTCAGAAGAACCAGGGTGCTGAGGCAACTGCACATGCACATGCACACATGCAGGTGTGTGCCAAAGGGAAGAGGTAAAAAAGACAGATGTGTGGCTGGGGTCATGGCTCAGCGGTAGTGAACTTGCTTGGCACGTGTGAAGCACTGGGTTCAATTCTCAGCACCACATAAAAATAAATAAAATAAAGGTCTATCAACAACTAAAAAAATATTTGAAAAGAAAAGAAACAACTGTCTCTTGTAACTTCAGGGTCTGCTGTATTTCTCTTGTATTTTTCAATGATGCTTGCTGATTTTTGCAAATGAACTGATTTGACATGGACATGAGCTTTAAGTGCACTTTTTTTGAGTAACATTTTTATTAATTTAGCCTTACCATGGATGTATTATTTAAAGGTGGAAAGTGCAAGTACCAAAAGCAAAGCCAGACTCAGGAACCTTACTTATCAGGTTTTGATTAGGTCTAAGTGTGTATTGCTACTATGTAAATTGGCAAACATTTAAATTTTATGGATTGAGAATTACGTTTTGTGTATTTTATTATTCTAGATATGGCTGTATCAGAACTTAATTAAACACAGCTCCCTGTTTGTCAAGCAACTGGACGGATCTGAGAGACCGACATGCTTATTTCAGATAAAGAGGCTCATGAGCCTCTGTTGCAGGTAAACTGTCCCTGTCAGCAACCTGACCAGCGCTGGGCACCTTAAATTTGATTTTCATTTTCTAAGACAGTGGCTTTTCCATGTTTTTGTTTTATTTTGGATGGAAGGACTTTGGAATAGTCTATGTATTGCTCTAGGTAATTCTGGCCTGTAAGACTTAGAAGTTAAAACACAGATACAACTATCTTCCAGAAAGTATTTCTTGCAAAAATTCCCTGGGATTATCTTGTGAAGTGCTAAGCCTTTGAGTTGCCAGTGAATGGACTGGCCAACTCAGAGGATTCCTGGTAGGAGGTGATTCCTTTCTGTAAGGGTTTCTACCACATTCAGTTTGGAAGCCACCTCTTGAGAAATGGGCTTCATCAGGCTCTCTCATTTATGAATGAACTCAGTAGGCATTTATGAATGAACTCAGTAGGTTTGGGGATTACCAGACAAAGGTGTGGACTTGCCTTTTCTCTTTGAAGAGCTGGAAAATGAGAAAGAAGTAGAGCTACTGATTTACGAGATCACTCGTCTCCTTGTCTATAAAAGTGAGTGACTTATGGGTTGAGTGTATGGCTCAGTGGTAGCATGTACTCAGTGGGCACAGGCCCTGGGCTGGACCCCAGGGTCAGTACAGTGCTGAAGGTCAGAGGACCTGGACTTGGTACTGCCCTGTGACTGTCTTGCTTGGCATTGGAGTCACTGGATCCACTGTTAATTGTAAACTGACGAGGTGGGGGGTGGGGCCTGCCTCCTGGGACTTCCGTCTCCACTGCATGGCCAGATGATGGGAGTGCTCTCTTCGTGGCCCGTTCTTGGTCTCCTCCAGCCTCAGAAGATACTTCACACACTCATGTTCCAGATGTCACCATGAGCTGTTAGTATCTCTAGATTGGCATCTTGTACAAATTCCAAAAATGCAGGTTTTCTGTGTCAATTTCATGTGATACTAACATTCAGCTTGTAAGTAGCTACTTATCCACTTAAATTAGTAAATTTATTTTGAAAATAAAAATTGATTTTTCAAAGCTAATGAATATTTTACCTTATTTACATTTCTTTTTACATCAGTCTCTACTGGGAACAACATTAGGGTTGGCTGTCAGTCCTGTATTAAAAAGAATTTAGGAGGGCATTGGTGGCACATGCCTGTTAGCACTGCAGTTTGGGAGGCTGAAGAAGGAGGATTGCAAGTTCAAGGCCAGCCTCAGCAACTTAGACCCTTAGCCACTTAGTGAGATCCTGCCTCAAATAAGAAAAAGGGGGACTGGGGATGTGGCTCAGTGGTTAGGTGCCCTGGTTTATTCCCTGGTGCCCAAAAAAAGGACTGATGGAGTTTCTGCAAGGTGGCAGGCAGGGTTTTTAGCACTGAAGGTCCAGCTGTGGCAAGCTGGGGGTTCTTGCTCTTCTTGGTTTTATCTAATCTATAAATAAGTAAAATAGAGGTGTTTTTATACAAAAAGATAGATGAGTTGTGGGAGGCTAAGGAGGAGGAGAGGAGCTGTGAACTTTGGGGTGGCCTTTCTGGACGGTCTGGGAGAAAGGTGCCTTGGAGGCCACGGTGGCTGGGGCCGTGCATGTCCCTGCTCTGGGGCGGGAGCCAGCACAGAGCCTGCGGGTCTCGGGTGTTCTGGAGGACATGGGCTGTATGCTGGAGCACAGAGGAGCCGGGAGCTAGAGCAAGGTGAGGTAACTCATTCTGTCTCCTTGAAGGTTTTTATTAGGGTAAAGAATGGCATACTAAGCACTCGCTGCCGCCTCCCAGCGCTGCCTTGCCGACACTCCTGCAGACCACAGTGTCATGATTGACGGGTGAAAGTGATGCGAGAGGCCAGGAGTCTGGTCTGGCAGTTCTGGCAGTCCCACGCCTCCACCCAGGATGGGCACCCAGCCTGTTGGGTCACCATCACAATGTGCTTTCCCTCTCTTTTAAAAATAATCTAGGTGACCACACAGTACCTGTGTTGTCTCCTGAACACCCCCTCCCCAGCCTCCAGTGCGCTTCGCCGGAAACACCGCTATTGTTGGAGTGAGTGCAGCAGAGGGAGGGCACAGGCAGACCACCAGGAGGCGACTGCCAAGGGTGACCCAGCCCGGTGCCGGCAGAACAGACTAGGGCTCAGTTAAGTAGAGCCTGGGTGGATGCAAGGCCTCCGTTTCAGCAACTAGAAGGCTGTGATGGTTTTGAAGGTGAGGGAGTTATAAAGCTGCACAGGACTGAGCGGACCGTTTAGAAGAGAAAAAGAGGCCTCTGAGCACGCCCCACCATAGGAAGCTTGAGAGGAGGGGGACCCAGCCAGGTAGGAGGCTGCTGGTCAGAGTTGATGGCTGAGCCTAGACTGTCAGGTGATACCAGTTTCCCCAAGAAGAAATCAGATTCTCCAACGAATGTGTCCTTCCTCAGTGAGGGGACCAGTGACATTGCAGCTGATTGAACGAGCATTCATCTCAGGGGCATTTGTATCTCTATCTGACCGAGGCCTTTGCTGTGTATAGCTCTGAGTGGGGGCATGGGCTCAACTGTGTTTCCTGTTGAGTCCGCTTCTGTCTTGGGGTTGAGGAGCACCCTGGGATGAGCTGGGCAGGACGCCCTGTGGCTTGCTTTTGGCCTGCAGTCTTCGCCTCCCCTCATAGTGCCGCTGGCCTGGAGAGCAGTGAAGGGCTGGGGTGGGTCTGGTGCGGGGAGGCGGTGGAGTTAGTAAGGCTTTGCAGGGTCCAGTGTGCAGTTCATAGAGAGCAATAGCATTGGCAGCGTGTTTGTTGAGGAGGGAACCTTGACGGTACAGAGGGAAAGATGCTGGGACAGTGCCTCTGAGCAGGAGAGGACAGGGCATGGCTCCAGAGTCGCAGAGTGTGGCTTTGGAAAGGGGAAAAAGACAGTTTACCTTATTGTCAAGAGGCAGACAAACCCCATTTTAAAAACAGCAAGATGCAAGCAGACACTTGGCTAATATTTTATGTGCCATTTCATGGCACATGAAAATGCCATGATCGGTGTTCAGGGAGGTAGGTCTCAGTGACGTACAAATGCACACGAGGACGGCCTGCAGTACCAGGGGTTCAGATGCAGAGCAGTGGGGACCTGCATTGCATCTGTAGAGGTTCAGTGGTTTCTTTCAAAGTTAAGTGTATAGCTTCTCTGAGCCCTGGATTACCAAGAGAGATGAGGCCCAGTCCCTCGGGTGTGCCCCAAGTGTTAACAGCAGCTTCCCTTGGGAGACAGGTGTCCATCCTGTGAGTGTCCTCCACCATGCTCTTCCCATCAGTAGACCAGTGCATGGCGGGTGCAAGGACCAGCTCAGGAGGTGCCACTGGGAGGTGCGGCTCTTTCCATGGGGAATAGCAGGAAGTGCAGGCTCATTTGTAGGCACAGAGAAAAGCTGGAGGGAGGGTGTTCTGGAGGCACTGAAAGCACCTTTTGGAGGCTGTGTGTGCAGTCTGTCCAGTGCAAGGTGCGGCCCCCTTAGATGGGTGCAGAGTAGTGTGGATAAATCATGTCTTCATAAAGTTGTGGTTGTTTTTTTTTTTTTTTAAGGCATTAAATCTTTTTTCAAATAAGACTCACTTTTGTGACAGCAGAACTTGTCCTTCTGCCTGTAACTCTTCTCCTCATAAGAAGGAAGGTAGGGGTAGGTGGCACAGGGCCAGAAAGTGCTCTCTGGGCCACAGGGGTCCCACAGGCACCTTTGCAGGAGAAGCCGTGCATTCAGAAAGAGGCCCTCCCCCAGTCTCTGGAGACAGCTCCTATTGGCCCAGTCAGTGGGTTGTGATGCTTCTCAGGCTGTGTTGCATTCTGTCCACTTGCTTTCATCTGAACAAGAGTATGGCAAGTTGGAGGTCAGCCTGGGCAACTTAGCCAGACCCTTTCTCAAAAACCTCAATATGTTGGGGTGTGGCTCAGTAGTAATGTGCTCCAGTTTCAATCCGCAGCACCAAAAACAAAGTCTGAATGTTTGCTTACTTTTTGTCTGAGTCTTGCTGTCTTCAGAGATCTCTGGCACTCAACAGAGTGTCCCAGCTGCTCACTCACAGCCAATAAGAGGAATTGGGGAGAACTCTGGTGACATTAGCCACCCCGTAAGTATGTGAATGCTTTTTTTCATTTTTACAGGTTGCTGCAGAGCTGTAATGATGACAGTTTGAATGTTGCACTTCCAATGCGAATGCTTGAGGTCTTTTCCTCTGAGAATACTTACTTGCCTGTTTTACAAGATGCTAGCTATGTGGTGTCCGTAATTGAACAGATTTTGCACTACATGATCCACAATGGTAAGCAGCTGGGTCAGGCCTGTGGGTGGTGTACATGACCTGCCTGCTTCTGGGGGCACGTGCTTTTGCAGGAGGGCTGCAGCCGCCGCCACTCCAGAACCCATGCTCAGCCCCACTCTGAAAACGTGGGGCCATGCTGGCTCTCTGTGCTGACATTTTTTGGCTTAGAAATGAGGAAGGGCAGCATCTGCTTTCAGAAATTGCTCCAGGCCCCTGAACCCAGGGTCTGTGTCCTCACTGGGAGCCGCTATTCCTCAGAACTGAGCAGGCGCCCTGTTGCTCCCCTCATCCTGAGCGGTGGGAGCCCAGGGCAGCTGGCTGAGGGCCTGCGGCACTGAGGAGATGGCCTGCCCAGGCTGTCCTTGTCAGGGGATGCTGCGCTCTCACACGGCTGGTAGAAGGGAGTGGGGCAGTTCGTCTGAATTTTCTCTGACTCGGTGTTAACACTGATAACTGTTCTTAAAGTGCATTACATAAAGTAGAATAACTGTCTATGAAATTCCTCCAAGGACATTATTAACAACACGGTTTTGGAGAAAACTATGATAATAAATAATATTCTAAATACTTGTGAATTAAGCCATAGTCTGAAATTAAGAAAACCTCAACCCACTGTCCTCACAGGTAGAAAGCCCAGCACATTAGGACTCCTGGGCTTAGAAGCCTGAGTCGGCACTAAAGTAGACTGCATTAGTCAGCAGAGGAGCTCAGGAGGTGCTGGTGAGCCATGCCATGATGGAGGCTGACAGCTCTGCATCTCTTCTCCTGAAGTGCTGCGATCCTCTGGTGAACCACGGGGAAGGCTGAATTGTATTCTGATGTCCAGCCTCACCGTTTGGCTTGGGTTCCCCCCCACACACACACATTAAAAACGTAGAGAAGCTACTGAGTTAATTAAAGATAAATTGGAATTTGTGGAATTTGATTTTTTAAAAATTGTTAGAAGTGGTGCTTGTATGAATTGATATATTGTTATATATGTCAACTAAAGGATAAGCATTCAGTGAGCATTTTAGTTTTCCTGTTTTCTGAAAGTATAGGGGAGATAACCTAGAAATATATACTATTTGAAATGTGTCTAAAAATAGGAAATGCTTGAACATCTTCTACTGTGACTGCCACCTCTGGCGTCGTCTTGGGTGGCTGCTGTGTTACTTTTAACAAGGTGCTTCCTGGCTGACCTCTCTGTGCAGCTTGAGCCTCCCACTTAGTAACCACAGCTGGTGTTCTGATGTATGTCGTGTGCTTCTGTGCACTGAGAGCTTTGCACTCTGGTCGTGCCGTAGGTCATCTGATCAGAACACACCTGGCAGTGTTAAAGTCCTGCTGTGTTTTCTTTAAAAGAAATTCTTATGTATTTGTGTCTTTTAAGTTTTACAGCAAATGAGCTTTTAGGCTTCCCTTTGATGTCACTAGTAGTCAGCGTCCGCCAGGTTAGAGTCAGGATGGTCATGCCGCAGGTCTGAGTTCAGCACCGAGTTCAGTAGTCGGAGCTCTGTGCTGTCAGACAGGCCTGGGCAGCCAGGAGGTGCTCACAGCCATGCCAGCACGTTGCCCTTGGTGTTGGACAAGAACAGGGCAGCTCTTTCTTAAAGGTGATGTGGCTAGAACCCTGGTTTTCGCGCACAACCAGAAATACGTCAGGTGCGTAGGAAGGCAAATTTGGGAGTAATCCCAACAGTTACTTGTGCTTAAGTGTAAGTGGCCTGTAAATCGGCTCACTTCCTTGGTACCTGGTTTGTGGTCTCCATAAGTATCATTTCCTCTAAAAAAATCTTACTAGGCCCTGGAGATGAGGTAGATTGCTGGTCTCCCATGGGGTGAGGGAAGTGGGATGGGAGCATCCTGTCCATTACAGAGCAGGGTGCTCCTGATGGCCACAGGATAGTTGGAGGGTCCCTGAGGGTAACAACTATAGTAGGTTGAGGCATAGCAATACATCTAAACCCAGGAGCTCAGCATGACGCTAAGGACCCTAACTAACTAGGCACCAGGGCGCTTAGGAGACAGTTCAGAGCATCAGCCTTATTAGGACCTAGATTCAAGAAACTAGTTAGGCAAAATGCATAACATGAGACAGTGGGAGACTAGATCACTAGCTAGGTGATTGCAGTATCAAGGAATTACCGTTAATTTACTCTGTCAGGCATAGTGATACACACTTGTAATCCCAACTACTCGGGAGGCTGAGGCAGAAGGATCACAAGTTGAAGGCCAGTCTGGGCCATATAGCCAGACCCTATCTCAAAATAAAAAAATTTAAAAGGCCTGGGAGTTTAGCTCAGTGGCAGAGCACCCCTGAGTTCAGTCCCTCTATAATGCCACACTGCACACATTCACACAGTGTCCTTAGCTTTTGAGGATATACTGAAATAACCCTGTCTTAGATTTGCCTCTACATGAGTGGATACAGATGCAATGAGACATAAGGGTATAGATGGCTGGCATTGACGCTGTTGGTACCGAGTGGTGGGTGCCGAGGCTTACGTGCCATTTGGATGACTTCCATATTTGTTTCAAGTTTTCCTTAGTGAAATGTTAGAGAAGAATTTACTTAAATTTGGACTTGTAGAGATTTATAAAAGGAACTTAAAAGTTGAGAAATGTTGTGGGGCAGTGGTGCATGCCTGTAATCTCTGCCACTCAGGAGGCTAAGGTAGGAGAATTGTGAGTTTAAGGCCAGCCTCAGCAACTTAGTGACACACTGTCTCAAAATAATGTGGCTCAGTGGTAGAGCACTTGGCTAGCATGTGCAAGGGCTTGGGTTCCACCCCTAGTACTGTCCAAAAAATAGATTAATAAAAGTTTTCCTCAATATAAAAAAAAAAGTACTCGATTTTAAATGTTTTTTTCCTTTCTTTTAGGGTATTATAGGTCTCTCTATTTGTTGATCAACAGCAAGCTTCCATCAAGTATTGAATATTCTGATTTATCTCGAGTTCCTATAGCAAAAATTTTGCTGGAGAATGTCCTAAAACCGTTGCACTTTACCTACAGCTCCTGCCCAGAAGGTGCAAGGTGGGTGAGAGGGGGTGGTGGAGGGGCGTCTGGCTGTCAGGCGTCTCTATGGGATGCTGCTGTGCATACAGACTTGAATCAGTGTGGCTGAGTTCACGGGAACAGCACTAGTGTGCTGTGTCGTCCTGCAGCCTCACAGGATTCTGGAATTCTGGTGGCCTGGTTATTTTCAGCTTCCCGGTACTGTCAGGATGTGGCCGTCACCTGACTAGGGAGGCTGTGGATCAGGCTGACTTCAGGTTGGTCACCTGGATCGGTCGAGGAAGTAGCTGTCTGTTAGAGGAATGTTCAGTTAATTGACTGTCCCTTGGTGAGCAACGTGCTCTGGTGTCACAAAGCTCTCCTTTTCCTTTTCAGGCAGCAAGTTTTCTCAGCCTTCACAGAGGAGTTTCTGGCAGCACCTTTTACAGATCAGATTTTCCGCTTCATCATCCCGGCCTTAGCAGATGTACAGACCGCTTTCCCTTACGAGCCCTTTCTGAATGCACTGTTGTTACTAGAGAGTAGATGTTCAAAAAGGAGCCGTGGAGCACCGTGGCTTTTCTATTTTGTTTTAACTGTTGGCGAAAATTACTTGGGTATGAAACACAAGATACATTTTACCTGAACTCCTACGTAGGTAGCATGAGCAGATGAGCCGGGAGAAGGCTGCGCTGTGGCAAGTGTCACGTGGTAAAGATGGCTTCCTGGGTGGGGCCTGAGCAGGGCGCTTTGCCTTGTCCCTGGGCTGGTCTCCAGGCACAAAGGGAAGGCTGCTCTTCCGGCCTGTGTTCTCTGAGGCTCGTGGGTTTTTCTGGTGTGCCCATTCTGGAATCAGAAGGCTTGCCTCTGGGAGCGTTAACTCCTGTATGTGTGCACGGTTAGAACCGAGGGACCTAGGGAAGACGAAGCTGGTTTCCCGCTCACCCTAGCTGCCTCTGGGTGGCCTGTGATCACTTCAGTTCTGGCCTGTCTCCCTGGAGGTAGGGACAGACCCCCACAGCTTGAGGACTCAGACCCGCCAGCCTGCCCGCCTTCACACACTTTGTGCACATGGTAGTTGTCACCCATCTTCTGAACAACCCACAAAAATTGGATTCCCTCAGTCCCTCCTTAGGTTTGATAATTTGTAAGCAGCTCACAGAACTCAGGGCAGCATTTCTGATGGCTACCAGTCTGTTACAAAGGACATAGATGGACAGCCAGAAGCAGAGACTCATTGGGCAAGGGACTTAGGAGGGCACACCGCCTCGAACGCTCCCTGGTACCTGTGGGTGGGAGGGCAGGCTGTCGAGGCCCCCTCGCCCCCATCACCTCATCAGCATGAGTTCAGGCTGCATCCTCGGGATTCCCCAGGGACCCTCTTTGCTTTCAGGACACCTAAGAGTTTTGGTTGTTCTGGGACAAGGACCAAATCTACTTCATAGCAAAGCACAGTTGGAATTTTAAACACTCAGTTCAGGCTGAAATGCTTCCTCGGGTAGGAGGAGGTCACACCTGTTCCCTTCCGTGGGTGGCACTAACTAAAGCTGTGGTGCTTGTTTCACCAGGGGTGCTCTCTGAGGAGGGCCTGCTGGTGTATCTGCACGTGCTCCAGACTTTCCTCTCCCAGTTACCTGCCTCCCCTGCCGGCGCCAGCTCCCAGGACTCCACCAGCGACTCTGAGGACGAGAGCGAGGAGGCCGACAAGCCCACCAGCCCCGTAAGCCCACACCAGGCCCTGAGATGCACCAGGAGCCTTTCTGGCTCCCTGACCCCGGGGCCCTTCCTCACACCCACCACCCTGCGTGGTTTTCTCTGTGTGTGTGAGGGGGTGACGTGGCGGTATGTAGCTTGGTCTTGGCTAAGTCAGGTCATTTGTGTATTAATTATTGCTCATGAAGCATTTCCTGCAGTGAGATTGTTGAGCCCAAGGTGAACTCTCCTTCCTGTCCTGTGAGCACTGCTGGGCGTGGAAGGCGTGTCAGGACTCACTTTGGAATCCATGGTCACATCTTTAAGCTCCCCTTCCTCCTTTCTCCCTGGTGTTAGGGAGTGAGCCCAGGGCTCTGCCGCTGAACTTAGTACCCCAGCCCCCTTTGTTCTGTTTTACTGCAAGTAATACAAGGCATTATGATCACATGGACACCCATGAAATTGTGTTTGCTTAGATATAAACCTGATGCTGACCATTTTTTCCTCCTACATGAAAAGGCTTGAGGTGTGGCTGTGACAGGCTGCTGGGTTTTGTTTTCCATCTGGAGTCTCGTACTGATAGTGCTCACTTGAGAGTGGCCTGGTGGTCTAGGTGGAAGAAAACTTCAGTGTCTGTTGACGTGAGGGTGGGTCAGTACTGTCCTTTACCAGACAGCTTCTTCAGCCGGAGGGGAAGAGCAGCACAGGGTCACTGCCAGGGTCACGGCTGGTTGAGGGCTCCTACAAAGAAGTGAAACTGAGTTTTTTGGTGGGTGCTGATAATGTCTCATCTGTCAAGACTCAGAACTGTGCACCAAAATATGGATTCTGTTGTAGAGTCAACTAAAGAATGAGGTCTGTAGATAGAATATAGGTAAAATTTTTGGTTTTAGAAGAAAGTAAAATTTTTAAGTTGCCTTCCACAGAATCTATGAAAATGAGATTTATGTAAACTACTGCCAGTATGGCAAAGAGGGCATAGGCTGTGTTAGCTAGGGAGGCGGCAGACACTTCCTCCTCTGCTGGACGTTGCCACAGGGAAACTCTGTGGAGACCCCTAAGCAGAGGGAACCACAGGCCCGCTGGCTGAGGTTGTGCAGCCTACACTCGACAGTGAGGTTGTTGGTGAGTGTTTTTTTCTTGTTAAGTCTGTGGAAAAGCTACTATACTTTACTTTTCCTCTTTTTTAATACGTAAGGTTTCAGGGCCTGTTGATCACATGGCTTTGTGCTCTGTCTGATCCTCTTCATTTTTCCCCTGCCTGGTCTTGTCCCTTCTCTCCTGTCCGCCTTGGAATGGAGGACTAGTGGCCCACGTGGGAGCTAAGAGTCCTCCTTTTGTTTTTAGCCAGGTCTGCTACATCCTTTTCGCCTGTGGCCTGATTTGGTTGTCTGAGGTTCTTAGTGGTCAGTTTGCCCTGAATAAACTTCCTTGTCCTTAGGATTCTGTGTAATCTGTTTACTTACATGTACAATTGATTTTAAAATTGTACACTCCAGAACAGCGGTGCCCACGTGTATGGTCTGACATTCATGTTGCTCCTTAAAGACTCAGGTTGACAGGTGGAGTTTCAGCTTTTACTCTGAAGCAGTGTTCAGTTGGCGCTGTTAAGTTTGGCCGAATATTGAAAGTGATAAGACAAGCTAGCGCTGATGTTTCCAGCTGTGGGCAGGAGGAGGAACCTTTGGAGTGCCTTACCCACAGGAGCTGCATGCACAGCCCAGGGCTTCTCTCAGCAAACCATTAAAATGGTGAAGACTAAATTTACCACGAACGCCCTTTGATTTAAAAAAAAAAAATTGATACTTTTACTTATTTTGCTTAAAATAATCTCTGATAATTTAAAATGGAAATGCCCTCAGAAAGTAGTATGGATATACCATGTTTGCTGTCTCGGTACAACTCACTCTACAATGTATGAAATGAATTTTTCATAAAATGTAAATACTAAGCCAGGTGTGGTGGTACATGCCTGTCATCCCAGTGACTCAAGAGACTAAGGCAGGAGCATTGCAATTTTGAGGCCAGTGGTTAAGCACCCTGGCTTAATACCCTGTGCCCCACACTGCCCAAAAAAGTAAATACTGAAGAAGGTCATATTGGCAGGCAAAAACTGAATGTGACCGTTTTGTGTCATCCACTGTATAAAACTGGCGTGAGCAGTGACCTAGAGAGGCTGCCTGTAATGTTCCCCATTTTCTCCTGGAAAGCGTTGATGTTGGGGGCAGGCGAGTCCTAGCAGTGCCCTCCACTCAGCAGGACTTGTGTGTTTCAGGAGGACGGCAGAGTCTCTGCCCCATACATCACCGAGGAATGTCTAAAGAAGCTGGACACGAAGCAGCAGACCAGTGCCCTGCTGAACCTGGTGTGGAGGGACTCGGCCAGCGAGGAGGTCTTCACCCGGATGGCCTCCATCTGCCACACGCTGATGGTGCAGCACCGCATGATGGTGCCCAAAGTCAGGCAGGTCTCCCTGGGGTCCATGTGCAGAGCCAAGCATGCCCTGGCCGGGGCGCAGGTCCCCATCAGTTCAGCTGTGTAGAAAATGGAATTTTTTTTTTTTTTAAACCAACTAATGCTGTTGGCATCTTTCCTGGCCCCATACATGCTGCCTCAGCAGGTCAGGTCATGTCTGATTCTGTAACACCTGCAAATGAGAGTGTAGACCAGGCTACCTGTCTTGAAAGTTGGACGCAGACCTTTGTGACAGCCAGTATGTGAACATTTCTTCTTGGGCTATTTTCATAACACCCGGTTTATCAGGTTGCCCTTGGCAGTTTACTCTAGTAGGTAAATGTTTGTTTTACAAGGCTCTGAGATAAACTTTTGGTTGGGACTAAAACAGATGCCCAACTTTTTTGTAAGGTGGTTCATTTGAACTTAGATGGTCTCAATGGTGGTCCTAAGCTGTGTCTTCCCACTTGGAGTGACAGTGGCTGGTTGGATATCTGAGAAACAGCTGGGTGTAGTGCAGAGCAGAAGCAGCTGTTGTGCTGATGTCGCACAGGCAGGCTGCAGAAAGCACCACCTGTCAGTGGGACCTGTGCAGATTCCTGTCCCCCCATGAAGTTCTGTCTCTGCAAAATATCACCCTGTCACACACACAGAGCACAGCATTCTCTGGCAAGGGCCAAGAGAAAGGTGAACCAGCTATCAGAGTGGCCTGGTGAGCATTCCCTGGCTCTCTGCTGCCCACTGCAGTGGGAGAGGCAGGGCACTGTGAACTGTGACCAGGTCATCCTTAGGCTCTGTACAGGCAATTGCTGCAGAGCTGGGGGTGACCTAAGCCAGGGCCTCCTTGCTCTCATGTGCCACAGAGCCTGCTGCTTTGGGTAGTGGCCACTAGTTGACTCTGCACTGCCCTGGACTGAGTGCCCCAGTGAACTGCTTAGGGTGCTGAGTAGGTGGAGCCCCTTTTGTACAGACTGGACCTCATGGGCACAGCACCTATCTCTTCCAGGAAACCAGTATTGAGAGTGTTTCCAGAGCTCATGAAATAGCACATAGCCTTGCTTTAACTTTTGTAGATTTTAACTCCTTTCAGATTTGATTTTTTTTTTTTTTTAAGTATTTAAAAGATGATTGACATATCCCAAGCTGATAACTCATCCTCAACTCCTGTCTGGCTAATATCAGTTCATCGTCTTTTTAGAGCTTGGATTTGCAGTTTTAATTTCTGTTTTACATTGATTGTTAGTGTAAAAGATTGTAGAGTCCCATTTAGACTGGTATGCAAAGATTTCCAAGACAGATGTGTGCATGAAAAAGGAAGATTAAGAGATCAGTACTCATAATTACCTCCTTTTTGTGTAAAAAAGAGGGAAAGGGTAAGAATATCTGATTGTATTTGTTTAGAGAAACGTACGGAGTGGGCACTAATGAGCATGTGTGTGGAGGTCGTTACAGCCCTACTGTCTCTGTGCTGCTTGAATCTGGGTGAAGTAGAGTAAGTTGCTAGCTGCTGTTTTCACTTGTTTTTTGAGGTGCTGGGGATGGAACCTGGAGCTTGTGTTGAGCCACATCCCCAGTCCTAGCTTCTTTATTTGAGAGGACATTGCATGTCTTGTTATTGGACTTGTGAGTCTGAGGAAAATCTGGATTTAAAGTTATTTTTTCCTTGTACTGGGAGGGCAGTGCTTGGCAAGCATGCAGGAGGCCCTGGGTTCAGTCCCCACACTGCAAAAAATATATTACTGCTTAAAAATGTGAATAGATCCTAGATGGTTCCCTTGTGGGATGGGTCCAGGAGGGCACTGTCCAAACTCCCCCAGGTCTAATGGCAGCAGGGGTTTTCAGGCAGGGACCTGCGGCAGCCTGTCTGAAAGTGCCCACTCGAGGGCTGTAGCCCGTGTGCCTCCTGTGACGTTCTGTGGGCCAGTGGGCAGGTGCGCCACTCTGAGCTGAGCAGGGCCTCAGTGGCCTCATGGGCGGGCTTGGCGTGGCGTTCTACATTCTTTTTTTTTTTTTTTAATATATATATTTTTTAGTTGTTGGCAGACCTTTATTTTTATTTATTTTTATGTGGTACTGAGAATCAAACCTAATGCCTCACATATGCCTCATAAGTGCACTGAGCCCCAGCCCCAGCCCCACATGCGACATTCTTCATCCTTCCTCTCTTGGCCCTTCCACCCGCTTCCTCCGCAGATGCTCCTCTCCTGCCTTCTCTTTCACTCCTGGGTTTCTTTTGTGGTCTCCTTCATGGGTTCTCTCTCTGTCTCAGTGTTTTGAAAGCTTTGCTTCTTTTTCCTTTACTTTTTGGGCCTTTTTCTTTCAGTTGATTTTCCAGGTGATCTCTTTCACATAACAGCTTCACCTGAGTTAGGTCGACTCTCTGGGTTCTCTTTAGCCTGCTGACACCTTGGTGCTCCAGCTTCATGGAGAGGTAGAGGGAGGGACCTGTTCCCATACACCCACACACCTCCCTGAGGCCCTCCATCCGTCCTATGCTGGCGAATGTCCCCGTCATTCATGGTGCTGTCTGTGCCCAGTCCTGGAGCCGCAGTGCCTTGCACATGGGTTAAGCACATGCAAGGACCCTGCAGCATGCCTGGAGCAGGCCCATCCTCTCAGGAAGTCCCTGGGCCACGCTGTCCTGGGGAGTGGACTTAGACTTTCTTCCAGCAGTGTCCTGCCTGCCTTCTGTCTCCACAATGTGTCTGCTTCAGGTGTTGCCACACTAGATTTTTGGAAGCAAAGCCACCTTGCTTAAACCTCACGGTGACTCCCTTTGCTTTCAGAAACACTTCCTGTTCCTTGGACTGTGGATTTTTAGCAGAGCCTTTCATACCAGATATTTGGAGTCACCTCTGACTTGACCTGTGGCTCAGGCTGCTTTTCCCAGCCTTGCTTGATCTCTTGGTTTTCGATCACCCGTCCCACTTCTCCTACCCTCTCCTTCTGCACCCACGGGTGTCTGCACCATAACTCTGCCCCTCGTCCTGGTCTGTCCTGGAAGAGATGGGCTGGCATGTTCTTCTAGGCCTGACTGTTTGCTCTAGCAACAGGTCTAAAAGCTTTGAAACCGAGTATTAAAGGTATTGTTTGAGGGGCCAGGACAGTTGGCACCATAATTTGCCTGTAGTTCTTATATAAATACATCAAATCAAGGCATCCCAGATCAATTCTATATGTTTGATTTCCCCCGCCCCCCAACAAAAACTAGTAGATTGAGCCAGCATAGGAGCACCCGGTGCTGCTAATCACACTTTGGAGCTGTGTGCCCTGCACGGGGCTGTGTGTGCCCAGCACAGTGGATGTGCAGCAACAGCAAATGGTCTTTCGCTCTTGGTTTACAAGTTCATGGTTTTTTGTTTTTTGTTTTTTTTAATTTGTTTTACATAGTTGTACAAGTTCATGTTTCATGCTTTAATAATGTAGGATAAAATGATTATTAATAACTTGAATGGACAAAAATAGATTTCTTTCATTGTATATGCAGAATTAAATATTATATATTGATAATGTGATTTATAAAAAAATTTATAATGATTTTAAAGATGTACTGGAGAAAGAAATAAATTTATTTCTTTGCCTATGATTTCATGGTTGCTTTTGTTAGTATTTTCAGTATAATGAATGGATTTAATCAACTATTGATCATGTTAAAATTTGCATTCTTTCGTGAAGGTCAAATAAAACTAACGAGTATTTTATTTTATTTGTACTGGGGATTGAACCCAGAGGTTCAATCCCACTGAGCCACCTCCACAGCCCTTGTTAGTTGTTATTTTGAGACAGGGTCTTGCTAAGTTGCTTAGGTTCTCACTAAATTGTTGAGGCTGATGTCACACTTGTGATCCTCCTGTCTCAGCCTCCTGAGTTGCTGGGATTACAGGCGAGCCACACGTAGCCAACATTCCTTCCTAAAAATCATATTTTCCTACCTGGGTCTTACTGTGAATTCATCTTACACATGTTGAGATTTTTTTTGACCCTTGCATTAAAAAAAAAAAAAAAGTTCATAGGAGATATTTTCTGATGATGCCGCTATAACTAGAACATGTCTCCTATCACAGTGCAGCACTCAGCCCAGAGCCAGTTCAGAGTCCAGCTCTGCCCATTCTTCAGAGTTCTCCAGTCTCTAATTGGTGTGATAGAGGAAATGCTGTTAAAAACTTCTTAGTTTTAAAATGTCTTTTTACATAGAAATGATTTTTGAGATGTTAAACTTATTTTTTTGTGTTTGTTTCAGGACAGTGACTTCAGTCGGTCATTAGGTAGAGATTCTAAGTGCATACCATTAGTGTCCCTGTGAGCAGGAGACCATGTCACAGCATGTTGGGGGAGCAGCCTCAGCCTGTGTGGGTGCCTCAGGCTGCCCCGCCGGTGGCTCTGCACCAGGGTCATGTCAGACGGGAGCTCGCTGTGAGGTCACTGTGGCTGTGTTCTTAATTGGGCCTTGTCTTCAAGTACAGCTTTGCTTTATAGGAAGTGCATTGAGCGATGACTTGACTGCTTCTCTTTGTCCCCCACTCCCGCTTCTTTTCAGGCTTCTCTACAGTTTGGCCTTCAATGCCAGGTTTCTGCGGCACCTTTGGGTCCTCATCTCTTCCATGACAACACGGATGATCACAGGGTATGTACTGCATCTGCTCACCTGTGGGCCTCCTGCTGTGGCCCCCATGCCTGACACAGTGTGGCAGGAGGGCGTTTGGAAGTGCTCGGCTTTGTTTTAGAGGAAAAATTCTGAATGGTCTTAATTTCACACACACCAAAATTAGTGCCTTGTTTTACAGTTATTTTTATGCATTATTAAGAGTAGCTCAGTTGATAGAATGGAAGGAAGAGTTGGTTTTTCATATACACGAGAGGTTGGTGGGTTGGGGTGAGGGTCTGGGATTTCTGCACTCCACTCCTCTGCAGTCCAGTTTGGTCTGTAGCATGTCGGGTGGTGTGCAGCAAGACCCTGTGCTGAGATGTGTGCCTTTCAGTCAGTCCCTGTCAGCCCCTGAATGATTGGAACTGGGATTTGGTCATCTGCATGAACTGTGCTTCCTAACAAAGGGGATCGTCACTGTGGACAGCATCACTGTCCTGCTTTGCCTTTATTTAATCTTAAGCATCTGTGAGGAAAAGAGAGGGTTTGTTTTGTTCTTGTTTTTTTCTTCTTCATTGGTTGGCTTTAGTTTTTGGTCTCTGGGATTGAACCCAGGGGTGCTTTACCCCTGAACTACATCCCCACCCTTTTTACTTTTTATTTTGAGACAGGGTGTGTGATCCTCCTGCCTCAGTCCTCCCAGTTGCCGAGATCACAGATGTGCACCACAGTGCCTGGCAGTAGGGAGTTTTTAGTGGTGACCCCGCGTCTGCTGAAAACTCAAGAAGGTGGAGTGGTTTATCTTAAGTCAACCTTGAGAGTACCCACAGACAAATGAGAGCCACAGAGGATACCCTGATGTCTAGAATATTTCTGTCTGAAATAGGAGGCTTTGAATATGTGCCATTGTGCTGTGGTGCCAGGCACATTTCAGCCACTCCTGCCTGTGTCAGCCCTGAGAGCCTGGGTTTTCATGAGTGACAGGTTTACTTAGGGCCGAAGGAGACTGGGGATTGTTAGGACAGGAAATTATCATTTCCCAGTGAGTATCCCCGCTTAGCAACAGAGACACCACCAAGGACTGCCTGACTTGTTTATGGCATTTGTCTCTTGGTGAGGAAATGGAGTCCTTGTGTATGAAAGACAATTGAGATATTGTTAATTATATTAAATTAATAATATTTTATAAGGTGATAAAGTTATATGGGTTTTTGAAAACAATATTTCTAAAAAGGCAGTTGAGAACTTCTTTTATTCAATTTATTCACACAAAGTCCTCTTAAGAACTGTCCTGTATATTGATATCTTCCAATTACATATGTTTCATATTTGCTGTCAAGAATAAAAATTTAAATGAAATACATAAATTTTTTGAATGTGTGGCACTGGGGATTGAACCCAGAGTCGCTGTGTCACTGAGGCACATCCCCAGCCCTTCTTATTTTTTTATTTTGAGAGAGGTCTCTAAGTTGCTAGGCTGGCCCCACACTTGTGATCCTCCTGCCTCTGCCTCCTGGGTCCTTGGGATTACAGGCATGCGCCACCGCACCTGGCTGAAGTACACAATGTTTTTAAGAGTGGCACTGAATTTAATTTGAAAATAGTTTTGCAACCAGACTTGCACAGCAGAGTCCTGAGGGAATGTGTTGAGAGCTCTGAGACTTGGGCCTGAGATCCTTCTGCCCTGCAGCTGGGCTAGCTAGGAACAGCCAGTGTGTCTAGCTACTTGTCCCAGTGAGCAACCATTTCAGCGCATCAGACATTTTTGCAAGTGATATTTTTATTCGCATACTTCACCTTAAATACTTGCTGTTGGAGTTGGACCCCGGGTGTCCTCCTTGTCAGGTTTCAGGAACTCACAGCCAGCTGGCTGCCCTTTTCTGGTGGGCATCCCTCTACCGGAGCCTAACACCTAGGTGCTCTGCCCCATGTGCTCAGCATGTGCAGATAGGCCAGCGATCTTGAGTAGTGCTCAGGATTCTAGGCGCATGTCCACTTGGTAGGCAGCTTATGTAGAAGGCAGGAAACTATTTAAGGTGCTGCTGGGTCCCCACAGATAGTGTGCAAACCTTCATTCTGAGGGTAGAAACAGGGGGCAGTAATTCAACCAACTTCCCCAAGTTATGAATCAGTGTCTTTTCCATTTCTATAAATCATGGACTTTTAATCTGCTCATAAGTCTTCTGAGATGGACCCTGTGTCAGAGAGATTTGAGTCTGTGTTTACAGCAGGAAGCATGGTCAGCAGAGGACCCAAACACTGTTGTTTCATTGTGCCCCAGCTGCAGGTCCCCAGCGCACACGGGCCCTCTTTACCAGTCCTGTTTTCTGTTGCTCCAGTCAGAAGGACCCATTCCTCTTGCGTCCTCATGGGCTAAAGAGAACAAGGGAGTGCTGGTTGATCCCCAGGGGTTCACATGATCCACATGGTGTCCCTAGAGCATGGTTCTGGAGCCGTGCACACAGGACTCTGAGCAGGACTGAGTGAAGTGGGCCCAGCACTGCTTAGACTCAGGAAACTGCCCGCCTGGCTGCTGTACTCCCCTAAATAGCATGTTCTCCTAAGTAGTATCAGTTATTTTTGTGGTTTTTCATTAAGTGGCCAGGGAACTAAAAGGTACTGACCATTATTTTTACAAATATCACCTAAACGTAGGACATTAAATTCTTCTGCTTGTCAGCAAATTTTTTGCTGAACGCCACTGTGTGGGTAGTGCTGCACAAGGCATGGTGGGGAGTCCTTCTGGAGGTGTGAGGGCCGGGCTGGGGACAAAGCCAGGGTTGTACAGTTAAGTCAGCCTTCTGCCTTCCCTTTGACTGTAAGGTACGATTGCCGTTCTCTGTCCCCACCGCGTTTTATTTTGGATGGATGGCTTTCCTTCCTTAACTCACGGATTGACTGATTATCCTGCCCAGCGTCAGTGCCTGGCCTGGTATGTCTGCCGTGTTCGGGCGTGCAGAATGGCAGCTGGCCCTGTGGACCTGGTCCTGGCGGATCTCGCCATGTCAGGGAGGCGTGAGGGTGGTGCCATGTAGGTTTGCTAAGCCAGGCGAATGGGACTGCGAGGAGACATGGAACTGTTACTAAATGCCCACCAGTTGAAGAACTGGACTTGCAGAGGGGCAGGGAGCAGACTCCCGCTGAAAGATGTGGACTCACTGAACAGGTCAGAGCTCTTCAGAGTGGTAGAGACCCTGCCTTCCCTAAAGGCTGCCCCACCACTGTGCCACCTTGGTGCTTGCTTGGCTCAGAGGGGGCCAGCAGGAGAGGAGTGGGGCTGGCCAGGGCACGGGGCACTGAAATGAGCCAGCCGAAAGCAGAAAGTGGGTGTGGAGCTGTTTGGAAAGTTCCGGTAGTCGGGAGCTCCGTGAGTCTCTGGGACCTCTGCTGACTGCCAGGTGGAGAGGAGGCCGTGGTGTTCCTCGTAGGAGGGAAGTCCGCGTCGCCCTCGCCCTCTCCAGGGCCTCGGCCTTGGCCTGAGTGCCCACTGGCAGGAAGAGCAGCCCTGGGGGGAAGCCAGGTCTGTACCCCTGACTGGCCTGTGTTGCCCCAGTGACTCTGCCTTGCCTTCAAGTCATTTTATTGTTAATGTCACTGTAGTTTTCATTTGTCTAATATCATTTCCTAATTAGACCCCAAACTAAACCTGATTTTGAGATAACTGGATAGCTCTTTTCCTCCCTGTCTCCACCCCAAGGTCGATGGTGCCGCTGCTCCAGGTGATATCCAGGGGCTCTCCCATGTCCTTCGAGGACTCGGGCCGCATCATCCCGCTCTTTTACCTCTTCAGCTCCCTCTTCAGCCACTCACTGATTTCCATCCACGATAATGAGTTCTTCGGCGACCCCATAGAAGGTGAGCGTTCTGAGGAGCTCCTTGGCTGCTGCCCAGAGGCTGTCGGTCTTCACAGAGAGTGGGCAGCTTCCAAGCCTTCGCAGTGTGCATGCCATGTTGAGAGAGGGGAAAGGGGGCTGATTGGAAACGGGGGTGTTTGCAGTTGTAGGGCAGAGGCGGTCATCCATGATGCCCTTCACGCTGGAGGAGCTGGTCGCCCTGTCCCGCTGCCTGCGCGACGCTTGCCTGGGCATCATCAAGCTGGCCTACCCGGAAACAAAGCCCGAGGTGCGGGAGGAGTACGTCACCGCCTTTCAGAGCATCGGCGTCACCACCAGCGCTGAGATGCAGCAATGTATACAGATGGAGCAGAAGCGTTGGATTCAGTTGTTTAAGGTATTCCATGTACGGGCAGGTGTCGTTTCCTGGGGCTAAGTAAGCCTAGATTTGGTTTTGGCCTGATTGATTTCAGAATAATAGAAATACAGGTTTGTTTCAAGCATGTTTTTTAATTTACAAAACTTTTTAAGAAAAGTTACCTTTATTTTTGCATTTGCCTCATTTTAATACCTTGTTTTTGATATTGTCACGTGCATCTTGTAAATTGTCAAAGGACTTTCTTTGATAAGGTATAAATGATTAAAGTTTTCTCTTTTTTGTACCAAGGATCAAACCCAGGGACACTTAACCACTGAGCCATGTCCCCCAGCTGTTTTATGTAGAGGCAGGGCCTTGCTGAGTTGCTTAGGGCCTTGCTAAGTTGCTGAGGCTGGCCTCAAACTTAGGATTCTCTGCCTCATGCCTCCCAAATCTCTGGGATGATAGGTGTGTGCCACTTTGCCTGGATAAATGTTTTCCTTTTTATTTTTCACTAATAGATCTCAAACAGCTTTTACAGTTTTTCATCTTGTTAAAGGCAGAGTAACAAAGGTGGGATTGGTCACTCATTTTTAATGCTAGGCGCATATGAATTATGCTAAGATGTGTCGTTCTCACACGCAGAAAGTGGGGGGATGTTCCTTTGCTGGGTGCTGGCTGGGAACCAACACCACTGGGAGTGTCACTGCTGTGGGGCGGAGAGGGAGGGTGCTGCCTCGTCAGCAGCAAACGCCCCTCGTCAGCTGAAACTGCTCATTAACGGAGGGCGGGCAGACGTGGTGCACTTCCCAAATTGAGTGCTGGATTTACAGCTCCTCTCCCACCAGCGACCCCGCGCCCGGCAGCGCTCAGGCAGAGCCATCGACTGTCCCTTCAGGTCTTTTATCACTGCTTTTGTCAAGCTATCTATTTAATTGAAAGAAGTTAATTGAATGAAAATGATCAACTAAGCTTGTATTAATACTGCTAATGGAACTTTCTTCTTGGCCATGTTTGGAGGAAGATGTCAAGCTAGACTTTAGGAAAGGCACATTAATGCTTGCACTTAACCTGATGGGCTAATTAAGGAATGCTTATTCATCCTACAAGTCCAAGAGTCTCTCTGCAGCCCATTCTGCCTGATTTTACAACACATTTCACTTAGGAGCATGAGCATTAGCAGCAGTGAAAGTAACTGATAATGTTTTGATTGCGTGAATACAGGGCTAATGCATCATTGAATTCATAATTTGAACAGATGGGTGTGATGCATGTTTGCACACTTTATTTTAATTACTTATCTCTGTCTCTAAGTAGATGTTGAAGTTCACATGTTGAGCCCTTAATAAATCCTTTCTTAAAAGATTGACGGTTATGTGATTTTTCCAAGTTAAAAATACGCTCTCACCTATTCAGGACTTATAATTGTTGTGGGAGCTTTATCTGAATAAGAGCGTTATGGTGGCATATGTATTTTCCTTTTAGGTTTTAATTAAACTCTGGGATCTTTGCTGGAAACGCTTTCCCTCACGTGGGAGACCAGACTCCGTGCTTGTGCCAGATGATTCCGTTGTTTTACAGCACCTCTGGAGAGTGTCATAATTTCCTATGACAGGCTTATCTTTCAGGACATAGAAATCTCTGTATTTAATAATGCTATAGTAGTTATTTTCTACGCTGGCCCTATTTTGTTTTGTTCAAGCATTTAATTAAAATTTTGTTGCAGTGACTTACTGCCACTTCGTTAATCATTGAAGATTTTAAGAATTAGTGAAAGGATCACTGGTTTTTTGGTTTTGTTTGGTGCTGGTACCAAATGCAGGGCCTGTGCATGGTGGGCTAGCACTCTACCACTAGCTATACCCCCAGTCCTGAAAGTTCACCGTTTTGGGCATCCAGTTGCTTTAGAATTGAAATCATTATCACCAAGACCTCTTGGGCTAAGAATAGGATTAAAATAGGATTTAAAGGATTCCTGGTTTTTTTGATGGAAAATCCCACCCCAAATCATTTTATACTTCCTGCTGTTAAGCCATTCCTTAAAAATGATAAAAATCAAGGCATAATCCATAATCAAGCTATTAGGTTTTCTTAAAAAAAAAAACAACAAAAAATGACCTTTATTATGAAGTACTCAGCAGCACTTGCCCCAGAGTGGGTCCTCGTTCTAGGCAGTGTTCCAGGCTCTGCCTCTGCCCATGCGCTTCCTACAGTGATTCTGTATAGAAGAACACTCATCCCCCTGGATAGCGGCGCACAGCTGGCAGTTGGTAGAGTCAGCTGCTCTTCCACATTTGCCCTCTGAAAACCAAAATGTAAATTTTACCAGCACTTTTTAGGTATTATAGAGCCCAATCCAAATTGGAGTGTCCAAGGTAGAACCAAGTAACAAGGTGAGCACGCTTGGCCAGCGACTTGCGGCCTGCCCCTGACTTTGACAGAACTGCAGATGAGGCCTGACCCTTGCGCACCAACCATTTTCATTTTTCAGCTGGTGATGGTCCTCCCGAACTAATTTGTGTGAGAGGCTCTGGAGACTGGTCACAGAACATAGAATTTTAAGTGGATAGAGTCATCTTTCTTTGTCACTAGAAGAATTGAGGTCAGTTTCTAAGCCCTGAATTGACACTGCTAAAACAGTTTATGCATTTATCAGATTTATAAACTCCTCTTGAAGTGTCATTTATAGCTGTGATCACCTTAGCACTGGAGTAGATGGAGCTGTGCTGGCCGCGTTCGTGGGTGCCCCTGCGTGCAGGAGGCTCTACCCAGCACTGTGGCCCAAAGATGAGTCCTCACCCTCCCTCTCCATGCTGGTCTGCTGGTAGAGCACTGTGGTGTCCGTGATTCTCACTTCCTTGGTGTGGTCCGTTTGCATTTTTCTGGGGTTTTGTTTTTGTTTTTAATTTTTTTTGTGTTAGGGGGGTGGTTACCAGGGATTGAACTCAGGAGCACTCCACCACTGAACCACATCCCCAGCCCTATTTTGTATTTTATTTAGAGACGGTGTCTCACTGAGTTGTTTAGTACCTCACTTTTGCTGAGGCTGGCTTTGAACTCGTGATCCTCCTGCCTCAGCCTCCTAAGCCCCTGGGATTATAGGTGTGCATCATCACACACAGCTTTTTAAAAACTTTTTTAATACAGGAAAAAATTAAAGCAACAGCAGTATACTAACTACATTCCCAGCCTGCTGCTATTAACACTCACTGTTGAAGAGAAGGGGCAGAGCCTTCTACCATACTTTGCTCTTGAAGAGCTGGACCACATCCTCCCCTGTCTTGGAAGGCTGGTTTGTTGATTTTTATTTTGGAGGTGGGTGGGTTACTGGAGATTGAACTCAGGGGCACTCGACCACTGAGGCACATCCCCAGCCCTATTTTCTATTTTATTTAGAGG